CTGGCGATCGTGACAAGCAGACAGTAGTTTTAACCGATGAGAGCAGTCAATTTCACTTTTCAGACATATTGCCTGGAAAGTATAGAGTTGAGGTGGGCTGCATGGTTTATTCTCAACTTCTTTTGTCCTCTTAAAAGATGGACAGAAATTGATATTACTAGTTAAATACATTTACTAAACGGTTGATTTATGTTAGGTCAAAAGCATTTCATCGGAAGCCGCATCTGAGGGAGACAGTTGGTGCTGGGACCGTAGCTCCATTGATGTGAATGTCGGAACTGAGGATATCAAAGGGATCGAATTTGTCCAGAAAGGTTACTTGATTAATATTATCTCCACCCATGAGGTGGATGCTAAAATTCTTCATCCTAATGGATCACCTACTAATTTGAAAATCAAGGTATTCTTTGTCCTGGGGATTCTCCATAGCTATTGCTATATTAAAAGTCTATCAAACTAATTGTTTTATTCATTTCTGGTATCTACAGAAAGGATTGCGGAAAATATGCGTTGAGTCGCCTGGAGAGCATGAGCTTCAGCTTTCTGACGCATGCATATCTTTTGGGAGCAATTCAATAAAAATAGATGTCTCGAATCCACAGGTTTTATTTTGTAATCTCGTCTTTTGTTTAAGCATTATTTGGCTTGTCCTTCATTAAGCATCTCTATGCGTTTCTTTCTGCAGCCTATTCATCTGAGAGCAGAGAAGTACCTCCTCAAAGGTCTGATCAATGTGGAGTCTAGTTCATTCGAGAATGAGTCTGAGTTTCCAGAGAATTTCATTGTCGATATGCAAGACAAGGAAGGAAGAGTTATCAACAGTATTTCTGCCAAATTTGCATCTGATGGGCGTGGTGTTTATGAGTACTATACTTGGGCAAATCTTGGTGAAAAGATTACCTTTGTTCCTCGGGATTCTAGGTATGATCTTGGATCTTCTAATTTTGTTATTAGGAGATCTTTTAAACTAGACTTCAAATGCCTGGACTCCAGACTCTGGAGTAAATGTCCCAGGAATGTATCATAGGAGGGAACTTCTTGTTACAAATCAAACAACCAAGGAGTGTTTGGATACTTGCATTTGTCTTAAATATGTTTGAAGCTATTACTCTTTTCGAGTTACTTCAGCTACAGCTGTATCCTGTTTCAGGGGTAATGTGGAGAAGAAGATGTTGTTTTATCCGAAAGAGCTTCATGTAAGTATGGACTAGAAGTATTGCTCGCGATAAAAGATACTATAATGGGCACATCAAACTTAATTTTGTTTGTTCTAATAGGCGGTAGTGTCAAATGATGGATGTCAAGCTTCAGTTTCCCAATTTACTGGTCGAGTTGGTCTTTACATACAAGGATCGGTCTCTCCTCCTCTTTCCGGTGTTAACATTAAGGTCTCTGCTGCAAAAGACAGCCTTATATCTTCACTTAAGAAAGGTGAAGTAGCTGTTGAAACAAGCACATCCCCAGATGGTTCATTTGTTGCTGGGCCTTTGTATGATGATATACCATATGACACCGAAGCTTCGAAGGTTGGTATATTACTGATATATTTTCATGTGCATGTAAATTGACCCTGAGATTATGTTTGTATTCACTTTTCTTATCTTAGGTTAGATCTCATGCATTTTTACTGGCGTTCATTTGTTTTGAAATAATGTGTTCCTGATCGCGGTTTATATGTGCGTGCATGCAGCCTGGCTACCATATTAAAAGACTAGGACCTTATTCCTTCTCCTGCCAAAAGCTTGGTCAGATCTCTGTGCGTGTATACTCAAAGGACAATGCCGAGACATCAATCCCTCCGCTGTTGTTATCACTAAGTGGCGATCATGGTTACAGAAATAATTCTATATCTGACGCTGGTGGACTTTTTGTATTTGATAGCTTATTTCCTGGAAATTTCTACCTGCGTCCCCTTCTTAAGGTAATCAACCCAATCCCTCCTTCATTCTTAGCAAATCACTGTCTGGGAATGATATGACTGGGCAGTACGCTGAAACATATTATGCTTATCTAATTTATATATGGTTGCGTCAGGAATATTCTTTTAAACCTTCTACACTGGCAATAGAACTGGGTTCTGGGGAGTCCAGTGAAGCTGTCTTTGAGGCTACTCGTGTTGCCTACAGGTTTTAATCTTTTCTAAATCTCCTTTCTTTCACTTCTCCTCTAGTAAAATGATAGTAACGCACTTTCTTTGATGCTTATACCACCGATTCACAATTACTAGGGTTGCATAGGTCACGTTTCACAAAATTCGAATTCAATTGCAATTCTGATTCAAGATGTTAGATTTTTTTTTAAGTCTGAAACCACCATTTTACTTGACCATTCTATTGCATTCCATTTAATCTTCTTTGTTTCTGTAACAAAATATATATACCTTGTCAAATCATTTGCAGTGCAATGGGTAGAGTCGCTCTCCTATCTGGCCAGCCACAAGATGGCGTTGCAATTGAAGCTCGCTCTGACTCCAAAGGATATTATGAGGAGACTACAAGTGATATTCATGGAAATTATCGTCTGAGAGGGTTACATCCAGGTACAACATATGCAATCAAAGTGTCGAAAAAAAATGGTTCAGGCAACAACAAAATTGAGCGTGCATCTCCAGACTCGGTTTCTCTTCAGGTTTTTTGTTCTTTTTTTTTGTCCATAATATTTCATTCTTATCATCCACAGTTTCAACAATAGGATTTACCTGACATTTATTTTTCCCTATAGATTGGTTATGAAGATATCAACGGGCTCGACTTTTTGGTCTTTGAACAACCAGAAACGACCATATTAACATGCCATGTCGAAGGAAAACATAACGAAGAACTAAACTCGAATCTACTTGTGGAGATCAAATCAGCCATTGATGAATCTAAAATAGAAAATGTCTTTCCACTACCACTTTCCAACTTCTTCCAAGTAAAAGGATTATCCAAAGGTAAACACCTTGTGCAGCTTAAATCCAATCGTCCGACAAGCTCCCATAAAGTAGAATCAGAGATTATGGAAGTTGATTTTGAGACAAATGCCCAAATCCATGTCGGTCCACTTCGATACAGCATCGTGGCAGATCATCAGAGTCAGGTAAATTATGCAATTCACAACAGTCTTTCCACATTTTCACTACACTGAACCCTTATTTTTTCTTCTTCTTCTCGTTCTGATTTCGATTTGTTATGTTTCAGGAAGTGACACCTGCAGCTATATTGCCACTGGTTATTGGCGTTTCGGCAATTGCTCTGTTCCTTAGCATCCCCAGGTAATATTCCAAATTGTAACTTTCTAATCTGAAATCCTTTTCCATTATTAGTGAGAGTAGTTCACATAACTTGACATGGTTTTGAAAAAAAAATAAAAAACAAATTAAAGGTTGAAAGACATCTACCAAGCCACGGTTGGGATTTCGTCTCCCGGGTTCACTGCATCTGCCAAGAGAGAACCTCGAAAAGCTGTTGCTAGAAAGAAGACTTTCTGAATCATTCCACCTTCGGTTACTTCTTTCTTTCTTCTTTTGTTATATATATCGTTAGAGTGAATTAACTTTCCGAACTCAGAAGCTCCTCTAATCCACACAATTCAAATTTTAGAGAAACATTTTGCTCAACGGTTAATTTAGTCTTTTTCGCCATTTTATTTTTAAACATATTTGATTTCACTGCATCAGAGAATAGAGTAGAATAGATCCTTCAACATCTTCCGGTGAAATCATTTGCCAGATTCAAAGTCTGTCGAAACAACAGAGATTGATGATCGAATCAACCTAATTTTAATATGAAATCATGAGAGAAGAACAATATCATGGAATCATGCAAATAAGAGCTAAAATGAAATCTTTTTTCAGATCCAGATCCATGTAAGAATTGAGATTTTACGACAAGGGTTTTAAGGAAATTATGGTTTATATTTGGTTGAAACTGATTCTTTGCAAAGATTGATTATTGTTACTCCTAAGATATGAACTACTGAGAATGAATCAGTATTCAGGATTGTGAAATGAATTAATTGCTCTGTTGTTTATTTATATGATTCAGCAAGTAAATCAAATTAATCTATGTTGCCACACCACTGTCGATCACATACGTATGTAACCTTCTTTATTTATTTTTTTCACCGTTTCTTGAACAAAATGGAGAAGAAAAAAACAAAAGCGATAAAAGATAATAGAAATATATTTCTTTCTACATCGGAAACCCATTTTTTTAATTGCAAAATCAAAGAAAAAAAGAAGAAGAGGAAACTCAAAATTTTTTTACTAACTTTTTCATCGGGATCACCATTGTCTAGAGACTAAACTCAGGAGGCAGTAGTGCAAGAGTTGTTTTTTTTTTGCTAAATAGCATGCAAGAGTTACAATAATCTATTATGGTCCCTTTACTCTTATTCAATTTCGGTTTTCGAATTTGCTTCGGGTCCCAAACATTATCTTCTTTTTTTGTTAGTACTATTATTACGATTTAAATAGTATGAATGCAATCCTTCTAACAAAGATACTTATGTAAAAAAGAAAAGAAAAAATACTATGTCAATGAGGTCTAGAGAGTATAGTTTAAAATCAAAGCGACAGCTCCAAGTAGTGAAAACTGGGATTTATTTGTTGTGTTCACAACTTCACATCATAGTTCAAAAAGTAATATTATTGTAGTTATAATTATAATAATTCCTTAATCTTATACGCACGGAAAGCTAGTTCACGCGAGGAGAAACCCGGTTAACTGCTGAACCGGTCAAAATCGAACATACGTATGCCAATACCATCTTGTCAAATTACCTTTAGAAACATTGTTCACCTACAATTGCCGGTCACAAATCCAGGGCATTATTTAGCAAGAATCCATGTTTATTTCCACACCTCCTCTCTCACCAAATGTCACTCTCTCTCTTCTCTAACCCTAAAATCTCTTTCTGTTGTGTCTTTTTTCTCTTTCTTGAAGGAGTTCCTCTGTATCTTGTTAATATTCTCATGCCTAGTGAATCTCTGCTTTGATTCTTTTTTTTTTTTTGTGGGTTTGATTTATTTTCCGTGGAAGAAAGAGGAAAATGGAGAATATTGGTGTTGGTGTTGGTGTGCCGTTTTCCGATCTAACGGTGGAGAGGTATCCGTTAGGGTTCATGGATTTACTGGGTCTTCATCAAAGCATCTCACGTTATGCCCTGATCCATCCGCCGTCGATGCAGTTACCGGCGACACCGTCGTCGATCTCATCTACTTCGTGCGAAGCTCTGTCTGAAGATGAAAACAGTAGAGACTACGAGGAAGAAGAAGAGCAACATACGAGATATAAGCCGTCAGTTTTCGTATCCCTTCTTCCAAAAGTTTTTTTTTATAATACAACAAATTAAAATGTGTTTCGAAAAAACGACTCAGAGAAAAACTTTGGGGTTATAGGTTTAAATTAGCGAAGAGTAGAAGTGAACAAAAGAAGACGAGAGTGCCAAGAGTGTCATTCATCACGAAGAGCGAAGTTAATAATCTAGACGATGGTTATAAATGGAGAAAATACGGTCAAAAACCTGTCAGAAACAGCCCTTTCCCAAGGTAAAGTTTTAATCTCATTAATTTTGTACATGTGTTCTTATGATGATGATAATCAAAAAATCTCTAACGAGTTTTATAAATTTTTGTTTTTCTTTGGCAAGGAATTACTACCGTTGCACTACTTCTTGGTGTGACGTGAAAAAGAGAGTGGAGAGATCATTCAGTGATCCGAGCAATGTAATCACCACTTACGAAGGTCAACACACGCATCCTATACCACACATCATGTCTAAAAGAGTCAGCTTTGGGTCCAATGGCTCAGCTTCTGGGGCCCACTTTGGCCTGCCTAAACTCCCTCCTCAGCTTCATCATCAGCTTTTCGATTACAACAACCATCAACAACAACAACAAGAGCTGTCTTTTTTTGGAACCGAGTACCTTAACAGGCAAGAAAAAGGATCCGATCATGATGATGAAGATGATGATCATGATTATGTGATGAAGAAGAGTCGAACTCAGGATCTGCTTAATGGGGCTGGTTTAGTCAGAGACCATGGCCTTCTACAAGATGTTGTTCCAGCTCATATTATCAAGGAAGAGTATTAGTTAATCGCATAATGAAGTCTTAGGTTTAATTTTTCTACTTGTCAATGGCAACTAAAAAACAGTCCTTTACTTTGCCATCTTCAAAATGGATCATGTAAATGTTCCAATTTCGAAATCTTTTAAATTAAGTAGGATAATATGCTGTCACTTGTATTTTGATCATAATGAGTTTTGATTGAGATTTCTTCAATTCACAGTACCAGTTTGATCATAGGATAAAATCATTAAGCTTATTAATTAAACCGTATAAAGTTTAGGTACGTAGTTAAGGAGCATTTTTTTTTTGTGTGTCTTAGTTTTATAGTCACTATATGGATAGTATTATACTTGGTATCCAACCTCGAACCAAAATGTACAAGATGACGAGGCAATTTTATTAAGTTTAAGATTACTATATGTATATAGAAATCATGGAAGATTGATTAATTTCTTCTTCTTTTTTGTTACCGAAATTAATTTCTGTTTAATGGCCTTCTGACAGGAAAGCAAAACTTGCTGAGTTCAAAGGAATATTGATGGGAAAGAAAAAACTTAATTTAGTGTATGGAAAAACAAGGAAATGGGGAAAGATCAGTATATATAAAGTTTTAAGGAGAAGAAGAACAAATTCACCACTTGTATTTCATGATTACCCTCTGCGCGCGTTGAAAAAATAGTTTGAACTGTCAACGTCGTTTTGCTATTTTAAACTCTAACGTTTTCTTTTTGGTTTTTTTACCCTGTTCTTGTGGTTTTCTTCTAAAACCCAAAAACGAAAATAAAGGAAAAAACAAATTCAAAATTCTAACCTAACGTCAAATTAATAAATGATGTTTACTTTTAAGAAGAAAAATGACGTGTGGTGGACAATGATATATACTCTCATTTTATGTTGGTTGAAAACTCTGAGAGATTCTTTCCGTCTTCAAGCATTTTGGAAGCAGGATGAAAGATGTTATTTGAATTGAGTCAAACCCATATTCAGACCACACTATATGACCATTTCTATTTATAGAAATATTTGCTTTCATCACCAAACATTTCATCTGGTCGATCGTATCACTATCACATGGTCTTTACTCCAAACGGCGAAAAACAAACAAAGCAAATAACTTGTCATCAAACCTCGACATATTTTTATCTTACAGTACTAATAAAATTCGTGTAATTTTATAAATCTGTATATAGAGAAAAACCCCAGAAAAGACAAGTCATCGTCAAACCTCTATATACATTATTATACAATATCTTCCTTTGCAGTTGATGTAATTAAAAAAGTTCACGTTTTTTTAGCTTACATGTTATATATGTACAGTAATTCCAAAATATGATATTAGAGCTTGAACCGGACGGTCTCCTAGAGGTACATTCTTAATCTTACGATATGTCCAAAATTATGTCGATAAGATAGTTCCATCATTAAAAAATGTGAAGTTTTATATTGTGAAACTGCCGATGATTTATATGGATAAGAATCTATATATATTCTATAAAAATATACCCAGATATCGTAAATACGTTCTCGATTATACGGATTATTTCTTTTCTTGGTTTTCTGTATGTTCGTGTGTCCGTCTCTGTACTCGAATATACAAATTTTCCTGGAGAGTTCCTCGTACATTGGTATTTGTAAAGGGTAAAAGGGAACGTAACAATGTATTTTATTTTATTTCATTGGTTTAATAACGTAACATTTGTTTCTACTTTGGACATGTAAAATATAGGGAGGTTGAAGAAAGAGATTGTTAAAATCTTTTGCAAGAGGCAAAATTTGTATCATTTTCTCATACTCTCCCCAAAAAAAAACAATGTCAAGCTTTGTTTGTCCTTGTCTCCCTCCACCGGAAAACACAAAATTTTCCGGCTGTCTTAGTCTCGGACACAATCCGGAAAAAACCAATGAAATCTTCAACAAGATTTTTATGGACAACTACTCGGAATCAGCCTTGAAAGAATTCCAGTCAGATCCGGAACTAAGTGTGAATGTGATGAAAAACATCATCGCATCTTTCAATTGTAAAATCCATCATGAGATCATTAAAGAGAAAATAGGTTTCGCGGTGTGGATGGTTGGTGAATATTAATCATCGGTTCCAGAGATCGAAGATGGATTATCAGTAATCAAACGAAGCATTGGAGAATTACCTTTTCCTAGTGATCACCACCACAATGATCACAATGTTGGAACATGTCACTGGTTTGAAGAGTGTCGTCGAAAGCTACTCATGGAAGGAGGAGATGCGAAACTCCAAACTCAAATAGCCATTGCACTAACCAAACTTGTCGAGAAACTAGAAGTCTTTCCTCCCATTTTTCCAGCAAAAATCAGACGAGAAAGAACAGAATCTGCTAGGCTAATTGCGTCGATGCAGTCACTGCCTAAACCCGTCAATTTGGGACGTTCGACAATTGCTTTTTACACTGGAGAAGTTAGGAGATGCATCAGATCTATATGCCATCGAGATGAGGATCTTAAAAGGGTTTGTGATAAAGCAAGTGGTGAGAATCTGGTTAGCTTGCTTTCCAAGAAATTGAATGAAGATCAACAAAGAGACTTGTCTGACCAGGCGTTGTATCAGTTTGTAAGCATCCTCAATCATCTTAGATCACTCATCTAACTAGCTTCTTCGTTATTTTTATATATAGCGTGTTTTGATTCTTAATTCTCGTGACTACTTGTCATTGTCTTTTTTTTGTGGTATGAAACTTTAATATTTTCTTATTCATAGGAAGCAATCTTTTTCCGATCCAAAACTGCTGGTCTTCCTCTTCCATAGGAGAAGCAATATACAGATACATGTTTTTGAGAAGTCCATGCCCAAGCCGAGACCAATTTCCAGAGCAGTCGTGAATAAAATAATAATCTAGACAGAATAATTAAGGGGTGACTTATGTCTGTTTTACTATTGCATAATTGTTATTACGCTCATAATTTGTGTGTTGAACAGTTGAATTATGCAAACTCTAGCTTGTTTTTTACCAAAAAAAAAAAAGACTAGCTTGTTCAAATTACAATAAAAAATATTTAGAACATTTTATTTTGCTATTTTAAAATAATCTGGCAATGTTGGAATCGATTAAACATAATCTCTAATCCAGCTTTTGTCGTAAGGAAACATCTGATTCTCAAAAACCCAAAAGGACTTTAGCCTACGATATCCTGATGTTACATACCTTAGACCATTTCCAATTCTACTCCAAATTTTACTGCAAAATAGAGTTTGCAGCAAGATTATCTCCAACCCTGCTCTATTTTTTACGCAAACTCCATTTTGGAGTAAATTTTACTCCAACCCTACTCCATTTTTGACTACAAAATAGAGAAAAAATAGAGATTGCTCCATATTTGGAGTAAACCTTTATTTTACTCCATTTTGCAGCTATACTTTTTTTATTTACAATCTGATCCTTAAAATATTAAATCATTATAATTTTATATTTTTTATCAACACAACATTATTTTCGACATTATATATGGCTATATGCATTTTTTTTTCAGATATACACTTAATATTTGTATGACACATATCACTTTGACTTATATATATATATATATATATATATATATAAAATTAAAAAATGGTCTTTATGTATGTATATATATAACTATCGGTTTAATAATTAAGTTTTTATTTTATGATTCATGTTTATAAGATTTTTTGACAAGATTATAGGACTTTAATAGTTTTAAAAAATATAAAATAGACAATCATAAATATTTGAACACTAAAATTTTTATTTCAAAATATTACAACTTAAAATAAACTGAAAAATACACAACAAGTGCTAAAATCAAAGATAAACATAAAAATTTAACACAACAAATACAAACACTTTAATATTCTGCTAAATTGCTTCCTGATCCACCGATATCATTAAAATATTGTCCAAACGAAGTTGATGGAGGAGGAAATTCTTGAATTTGTTGTTGAGCATTCCGCTTTTGTAAAATTTTTGTTTGTTCGCCTTGAAGTTCAAATAGTTGATGATGACAATATCAGGTTCCAAGAGTTTTTCGGTCGATTTAGAGAAATCAAAGATAAAGAAGCTCATTTTTCACTTCGGAATGCATTAATTGATCATTTGTGGGAAAAATTTAGTAATTGTGATATTTAAATTTCCTAAGTATTATGATATTATGTATTTTTCTTTATTTAATAAAATTTCTTATGTTTTTATGATTTTATGTAATTTTTTTATTTGATAAATATTTTAATTTTATTAAATTCGTAAATTATAAATATTTTAGATAAAATAAAAATAAATGAGTTATATTGTAACTTCTAAAAGTTATAGGTTATTAAAAGTAAAAAAAAATAGAATCTATTAGGAATATTCTTTTTTGGAGTAAAAAATGGAGTTATACATTGGAATAAAACACAATTCCATTTTGGAGTTATTCCATTTTGGAGTAAAAAATGCAGATTTACATTGGAGATGGTCTTAAAACATGGACATTGCTCAAACTCATTTGGGTCTCTTAACATTTTTTTAATATTTTTTATTAAGATGGAGAGAATGATGATGAAACATGTGTCAGAGAAAAAATGAAGAACGAAAAAATAATTTGTTTCCTCCAAATTGAAGAACCAATTATGTGCATCCACCTGTTTTAAAAACGTCTCTTATACGTTCTAATATAAGCGATTTTTTCACTTTTAGATGCTATACTAATTAAAATAATAATATTTATTTTTAAGAGACGCTATAAGAGACAGCAATGTCCATGGTCTTAAAACGACTGCGTAAAACGTGAAAATGAATCGACGACGTTCGTCCTGGTAGTAATAAACGACAACGTTTTTCTTAAGGGCACGAGTGTTATTTTCCAGAAATCCAAGGTTCAAAACGAGAAATTGAAAATTTGGATTTTTGGTAGCTGTCGAATGTCGTCGATGTCATTTCTTCCTTCCGAACCCTAGCTCTAATTATCTCGTGTTCGAGAAATTGGGTCGCCATTGATTCGCACTTGGCAAGGTACAATAAACCCTAACATAAACTCTTCTCGTTCGCTTTCTTAGCCGCTGTCTGCTTTGTAATTATATGATCCGCATTACATCGTCACAATCGAGTTTGGTAACAGGAGTCATTCAAATTTCCCCGCAAGTTTTGTTTCAGTCACTTTTTGGAGGGTCTAATCGTATTTGTGATAGTCTTCAAGTTGATTAACTTTACTGCTTTGAATGAACCAACTCTCGATGATCATTGAATATTTGTCATTCAGATTGTTTCTGGAAAATGGGAACTAAAACTTGTGTCTTTATTTTCAGATGGCAAGCACCAGATCAGACCCAGAGCTTGATGACGACTTTAGTGAAATCTACAAGGAGTATACAGGTCCTTCCTGCACTGTGACCAACAATACCCAAGAAAAAGACAAACCTATCAAACGGCCTGAAGATGGATGTGATGAAGAAGAGGCACTACCTGATCCCAATTCTGTACCAACCGATTTCACTAGCCGAGAGGCTAAGGTTTGGGAGGCTAAATCCAAAGCTACTGAGAGGAATTGGAAGAAGAGAAAAGAAGAAGAAATGATCTGTAAAATATGTGGCGAGTCTGGTCATTTTACTCAGGTAATCCTCAAATTGTCTTCTGGTTAACTCCTCTGTAGTCTATTCATCATTCGTGCGTCTTTCTGATTGTTGCAATTTGTTCCTTGTTTTTTAGGGATGTCCATCGACACTTGGTGCCAACAGAAAATCTCAAGAATTCCTTGAAAGAGTACCGGCTAGGGACAAGAATGTAAGAGTTTTGTTTACTGAGAAAGTTATAGAAAGGATTGAAAGGGAGACCGGCTGCAAGATCAAAATGGATGAGAAGTTCATCATTGTTAGTGGCAAGGACAGGTTGATCTTGAGGAAAGGTGTAGATGCTGTTCACAAGGTTAAGGATGATGTTGATGTTAAAAGTTCTTCTGCCTCAGTCACTCACAGGAGCAGATCCAGGTCACCTAGGCGAACTTCTGTTGGTCCACCGCGTGCTCGAAACAACTCCGAACCTCGAAGACAGTACCCGCCATCACATGGTTCATCAAGTTTCTCAGAGCGCTCTGGAAGGCAAGATAAGTTCGTGGATAATCGTCTTCGCGAGGAGAATCGTGTTCGTGAGGATAATCGTGTTCGTGAGAACCAGCGAAATGCTTCCCGAGGATCTCCACAAGGTAGGGACAGGATAGGATACCTTAGAGAGCTGGTTATTGTCTGTTTTAGTCTGTTTTGGGGGAGGCATTTGACTGTTCTCTTCGGCATTTTTTGGCCGATAATGTCTTTTTCTTACCTTTATTTTGCAGCCAAAGGTAAGTCCTTATGTTCGAGCATTTTGTACAGTACTGAATTAAATAAATCAGTCTTTTGCATCTTGTCTGGTTGAAGTTGAGGTCATGTCTGTAATACACCCTTGGTTTAGTCTGGTGATCAAGCAGTTGACATTATTATTATTCATTTTATGAAGCTTATGGTAGTGACAGAGCCCGGAGTCGTTCTACACATTCAAAATCTCCAGGGCGGCCACGTTATAGTGGATGGGATAAACCGTATGATAGGCAAAAGTCTGAGGTGAGTGGTTATAGGTCTGAAAGATGGGATCAAGAAAGAATGGGTGGCTCCAGCGACATACAGGTGAGTCATCAGTTTGAACGCCCTGCTTTCCCACAGACGTTAGAAGATCTAGAATTGGAATATACGAGGGATGCAATGGAACTTGAAAAGAAACGCGACAAGGAAGAAGATGCAGAGAACAACAAGCATCGAGAGGTAAGAGATCCAGTGACTGATGTGTTCCTTTTATATTCAAAACCGAGTTTTAGGTGCTGTCACCTCAGAAATGGCAATTCCTGGCTGCAACTATGAAACTTTCATAGTTTTTTACATTTTAGTTGCTCATAGAGTATTAGATGGCAGCGGATAACTCCTGGTTTTGTTACTAGTTGAGTGACAAATATGAACAAAAAACAGATATAAGTCCCTAGTCTCCTTGTGAAATGCAACTCTTTTCGAGGAACTTCAGCTTCTGACATCAATTTGTGCGAGTTTTTAGACAATCCGGGAACTGAGAGAGAGTTACATGGAGAAACTGGCTGGGCTAAGGGCTATGAATGCTAAACAATGGGAAGAATTCCTTCAAGTTGATGCTCGGAGACGTCAACAGCAAGCACGGCAGCAAATCTCTGGTCTGAGTTATGGTAGTAACTATAGACAGTTTCCGTATGCTGAGTTTGATGAAGGTTATTCTGCCAACCCTCCTCCCTATGGTGGAAACAATGTCCCAATGGATTCTGAAGGCAGATACCCAAACCATGTAAAAGGCTATTCCTCAAGGCATCAAGACAACAATTATGGTTCTGGGTTCCAACGCCAGAGACGTGAGGACTATGGGAAAGCCTACAATCGTTATTAGACCATTGTTGTGAGATCTTGCTTGGTAAGTTGTTTCTCCCCTGTCTGAAGACAAAAACTAGTGATTTGCTGTTGTTGGAGTTTATGGTTTTGATTGAGTAGCAGATGCAAGTGTAAATTGTGATCCTTGAATCGTCAAATCTTTTGTGTCTCTCTCGACTCTGTGGCCTAAAAAGGTTTCTGAAATTTTCAGGGTCTGCTGTATCTGATTTACGACGAACAAGTCAAATCTCACCTCCAGATCTGTTGGTAGGTAATCTGAATTCTTATTAGGCTGTACAATCCGCAACCAAGGTCCAATCTTCCGTTGCTGGTTAGGCCACTAATATATGTTTTTAATACTGTCCTTGTCCATGCAACAAAGATCACCTGTAACTGCTAGCTATATCTGCTCTTCCCTTTGGGATTGTCTTTTACATTCTAAAGATTTATTTATTTTATTTTATTTTTGCTTCAAGATTAATGACAGAACCATGTCATTGTACTCACAGTTGAGCCTTTAAACAGATTACTTTCATCAAGATTTGTTTCAGTTGGGAACACTCCTTTGATTTTGTCAAAATGATTTTTGTCTGGCCATTGATTCCACTTTCCATTGTTTTTAGCTTCCCAAGAGTTCACGTCGCAGAGCAGAAGAAGTTTGTTTAATAAATCTCACAGCAGCCGTAATGTGGTGACACTAATGCCTCGTGGATCCGAGCAAACTCACTGCAATTAACGTTCGACTCTTCGTTTCCATTTTTTCTTAATAGACCGTTAAAGAGTTAATGAGAAATTGTTTATTAACAAATTAAATATGGTGCATTTATAATCAAATTAATGGAGTATATAACTCTGTTAAAAAGAAAAGTATGGACGTAATTAGCAGTAAGTTCGATTTCTCAAGGTTCTAAACAGAAGATTTGTGTCAGAAATTCGACATATCTCTTTTAGGACTTGTTTGAATGGTGTCTGACTGTGTGGTCATGAAGACATTATTGATGATACTATCGCAGTAAACAAATGGAGTAATAATATCCTGGTGAATCTTAATGGTCGAGATGACAGGTATCATCTTTTTAATGCATTCAACATTCGACTCTTGGTTTTCCTCTACAAAGGAATTGCGACTTTTGCAATTCCCGTTGTATTTTTATATAAAGAGGTAACATGTAGGTTTATGCTTGTACACATCCCTTTCCTCTCACAATACCTTGTCAAAGATGTCTTCCTCGATTGTGCAAATCGGAGCAGCTCGCATCAAAACAACCGTAACTGAAAAAGAGAGCGACATCAACCGTGTTGTGAAGACATTCTTGTCCAACAACAACAACCAGAAGAAGATCATTGGTCTTGACACAGAACGAGCACAAAAGGCAAAAAAACAAATCAAAACCGCCTTGCTCCAACTCTGCGATGGAGACAATTGTCTAATAGTGCAACTTCCGAGTGATGATGATGATGATGATGATGAAGATGATGAGAATCTTCCTCTATCTCTCTTCAATTTTCTCAATCTACCCGATTTCACCTTTGTGGGCATTGGCATAAACAAGACTCTTATGAAGCTCGAGAGTGAGTTTGGTTTGACTTGCAAGAATGCTGTCGAGATTGGTCCCTCCACGTGGAACCAGATCTCCAATAAGACGGCCGATGTGAAATCTCATATCGATAATGTTGTTTCTTCGACTGAGAAACCAACCGTATTCGACGACTGGGACAAATTTCTTCTAAGCAAGAAGCAGATTAAGCTCGCAGCCTCCAATGCTTACTTGGCTTTTGGCATCGGGAACGTTCTGTTGGATGGTTTCGGATTTTAAGTTTACAAATTTAGATTGTCTGTTCTGTTTGGTTTTTTTTTTGTTCACTTTGTTTTTATTTTCCTTGTTTCTTTCATTATGTCTAGTTTGCATTTTCAACCGAGGACGTTCTCGTCACTAGCTACCTAAATCTTCTAGGCCACAAAGTATAATATTTGGAAAGGTTTGGCGTTAATTACAAATTCCGTCGCTCTGCTTCGCGTGACACGGCCACATTCAACGTTAAATTAGCCAGCGTCAAGCTACACAATATTTGGAAACATTTGGACCCTATTATAAAATTCATTTGTACTGGGCCTCATAATAATAATAAACACTAATTTGGGCCTATTATCAGTCCACATAATGGACTATTGGGCCGTTTTCCTAACAAATTTGGCGGCGGCTAAAGGATGTTTTTGTTAAGAAACGTGTTTAAATCGGAAAATTTCTATCAAGACTTCTCCGCTGCCGAACCCTAGCTTTCATAACTTCATTCGTTCGTTCTGCTTCCGCTACTCGTGCTTCCTCGGGTATCAATTGATTCGCGCGATGGGTACCGAAAGGAAGAGGAAAGTTAGTTTGTTCGATGTCATGGACGATCCATCGGTTCCGGCGAAGAATGTCAAAGCCAATGGTCTCGCCGACGTCCACAGTCTCATCAATAAGTGGAACGGAAAGCCGTATTCGCCCAAATACTATGAAATCCTGGAGAAGCGGAGGACTTTACCTGTCTGGCTTCAAAAAGAGGAGTTTCTCAGAACTCTAAAGGACAATCAAACCCTAATTCTGGTTGGTGAGACCGGGAGTGGTAAAACTACCCAGGTAAAGTGGTCGAATTTGATCAATTGTTTGATATGTCTGCTTAGGAATGAGAGTAGCTTGAGGAGGGTTTAGTTTGATTTTGTCGGTGTGTGTCTAGAATATGAAAAGTTTGACATTGGTTTTTGTTTATTGTACAGATTCCACAGTTTGTTATAGATGCTGTGGATGCTGAAACCCCGGATAAGCGTAGGAAGTGGTTGGTCGGATGTACACAGCCTCGTAGAGTTGCAGCCATGTCTGTTTCCAGGCGTGTTGCTGATGAGATGGATGTGGCTATTGGGGAAGAAGTTGGTTACAGCATCCGTTTCGAGGATTGCAGTGGCCCCAGAACGGTGCTTAAGTAAGACTATCGTCTCTCTTTAGCATCTCATCTTTTGTTATCTATGTACTTGTGGGCTTGGATCTAATTGTGTGTTACTCACCATTACCAGGTATTTGACTGATGGTATGCTGCTGAGAGAAGCCATGGCGGATCCTCTTTTAGAGAGATACAAAGTGATTATTCTCGATGAGGCTCACGAAAGAACTCTAGCCACGGATGTGCTCTTTGGTCTTCTTAAAGAGGTGTTGAGAAATAGGCCTGATCTTAAGTTAGTTGTGATGAGTGCAACTCTAGAAGCTGAAAAGTTTCAGGAATATTTTAGCGGTGCGCCTCTGATGAAAGTTCCTGGTAGGCTTCATCCCGTTGAGATCTTCTACACTCAGGAGCCTGAGAGGGATTATCTTGAAGCTGCTATTAGGACTGTTGTCCAGATACACATGTGTGAGCCACCTGGGGATATTCTTGTTTTCTTAACTGGAGAGGAGGAGATTGAAGATGCATGCCGCAAAATCAACAAGGAGGTTGGTAATCTTGGGGATCAAGTCGGGCCTGTGAAAGCTGTACCATTGTATTCCACTCTCCCACCTGCGATGCAGCAGAAGATATTTGATCCTGCTCCAGAGCCGTTAACAGAGGGTGGTCCTCCTGGGCGAAAGATTGTTGTCTCAACCAATATTGCTGAGACTTCTTTAACCATCGATGGGATTGTGTACGTCATCGACCCTGGTTTTGCGAAGCAAAAAGTCTACAACCCACGAATCCGTGTTGAGTCGTTGTTGGTGTCCCCAATATCAAAGGCTAGTGCTCACCAGAGATCAGGTCGTGCCGGTAGAACACGGCCTGGAAAATGTTTCAGGCTTTATACAGAGAAAAGTTTCAATAATGACTTGCAGCCGCAGACGTATCCTGAAATATTGAGATCAAACCTTGCCAACACAGTTCTGACCTTGAAGAAACTGGGTATAGATGACTTGGTGCACTTCGATTTTATGGACCCCCCTGCTCCGGAGACACTGATGCGAGCCTTGGAGGTTTTAAATTATTTGGGAGCACTTGATGATGAAGGTAACTTGACAAAGACAGGTGAGATAATGAGTGAGTTCCCCTTGGATCCGCAGATGGCGAAGATGCTCATAGTCAGTCCTGAATTCAACTGCTCGAATGAGATACTCTCGGTGTCGGCAATGCTCTCAGGTACGCCCTTTGCTTGTATCTATTTGTTCTCGTCATCTTGGGGTAGGTATGTAGGTGCGGGTAGGCTTAAGCATGCTACTAGTAGTTTCCATTCACCTGCTTGTTTCTCTGTGTTTAGTCTATGTGCATTATAACTCATCTTTACCCGTTCATGCGTATATTGTCTAGAGTCAAACAGTAGAGTTTAGGTTGTCATCAGCAGTCCCTATAGTCTTGGTTCTGCATGTTAGGGGTGTCTTAAGTAAGTGCTGATGCAGATAGTTGCAGTTTCTCAGTTATTCTCTATCATGAAGCAAATGGTATCAGTCTCTTCGCCTCTATGCATCTGCTGACCTCTTCCATGGGCCTCTTCTGTTAAAAAAAACCAATTCTTTCTTTAGTACCGAATTGCTTTATCCGGCCTAGAGAGGCTCAAAAAGCAGCAGATGAAGCAAAAGCTAGGTTTGGACACATTGATGGAGATCACCTCACGCTGCTAAACGTCTACCACGCTTTTAAGCAAAACAGTAAGTTGTATTTCTCATTCTCATTCTCTTCCTCTCTTGTTATAGCCAAAATAAAACGACAATAACAAACTTGGTCAATATGATTTCTTACAGATGAAGACCCAAACTGGTGCTACGAAAACTTCATCAACAGTAGAGCCATGAAATCTGCAGACAATGTTAGACAGCAGCTAGTGAGGATAATGTCGAGATTTAATTTGAAGATGTGCAGCACGGATTTCAATAGCCGCGACTACTACATCAACATAAGAAAGGCCATGCTTGCCGGTTATTTCATGCAAGTGGCTCACCTCGAACGCACTGGCAATTACTTGACCGTCAAAGATAACCAAGTATGTCTAAGCAAATCCGCTTTACAGTGCTGTTTCTAATGAAGAAGATTCTCTCTTTTATGTATCTGATGGTAAAAAAAACTCTTATTTGGCAGGTGGTTCATTTGCATCCATCCAATTGCTTGGATCACAAACCTGAGTGGGTAATCTACAACGAATATGTTTTGACTAGCCGGAATTTCATCAGAACTGTGACCGATATTCGCGGTGAATGGTAAGTCCTTTCATTTCCTGTTCTTGTTTTCTTGGGTTTAGTATCTCTGTCAAGTTTTCCGTTTCTGAAAAAAATCCTTCCTTTTTGTGATGGATGGATAAATTCGCAGGCTGGTAGATGTTGCTCCTCATTATTACGATCTTTCCAACTTTCCCAACTGCGAGGCGAAACGTGTCCTCGAGAAGCTTTACAAGAAGAGAGAGAGGGAGAAGGAAGAGAGCAAGAACCGCAAGTGAGAATGATAATCGTATTTGCATCTACCCAAAAAGTTTGTTCTTTTTAAGAGTTTTTGATCCGATTCCCCTTACTAAATTTTCTTTCACAATTATCTATATGAAGACATTGGTTTTCTGTATACATTGAATTATGACAATTAGCAAATGATAATCTCGGAATTTGATGGTTTTAAAATGTGATTGACAAATCTGAAGAAAATATTGATATTTTCAAGACAAAAGGCACAGATAAATAGTTGATGACTCAAAAACTACCATGGGGGCAGCCACAATTATTCGAAACTTCGACTTTCCATTGTCACTTTCTCTTTCTTTAGCAATGATCCTTGTCTCTGCAACTCAGTAGTCTTGCTTGAAACATCTTCAATGTTTTCTTCACATTTCCTTTTTTGATTGTCTTCCTCTGTGATTTCTCCCTCATTAACAAGTATTTTCATTACAATGATCATCGATTTTTTCCATAAAACTATTACTTTGTATTCTTTTTCCCAGTTCTACAATCTTCGTTGTCTACTTCCATTTATATAAAGGTATTTTCCACTATTATTCGTTTGAAAATTGTTTCGCGAAAGAAGATTTCAATACACCTTTTCACCCTAAACTGCAAAAAGAAGAAAAAGGGAATCTCAAAGTCACATGTGAGTTATGACAAAAGTAAAACAATCAAAAATGCAAAAATCAGTGAATCATGAAAGTGTCATATATATGTTCCTGTAAAAGACCATTTTTCATGTACAGACTATAATGTTAATTTTGAACGGAAAGAGAAAGATGTATGTTAATGCATATTAGTTTAGAGTAAATATGCTCTTTAGTCGTAAACTCGTAATTATATCATCTCTAAAAATGCAATTAACCTTTTAAGCGTCCAAGGCATGTATACAGTGTATATGCAATGGATAAAAAATTTAGTTTTCTTCGTCACCGCTTAAAAATAACATCTAATAAACTGGCTTCTAGTTGTTTTTTCTTTGTTTCTAGTCTTTTAAATATCAGAACTGGCTCTACTTATATATGAGTAAAGTTCTGTGATATTTTAAGTGTACATATGGTAAATGTTAGTTTCTCAACAAAAATAAAATAAAACAGAGACAAAGAGTTATAGAGAAGAAGAAGAAGAAGAAGAAGAAGAAGAAGAAGAAGAAAATGCCTTTTGAAATTGTGATTGCTGTCATGTATGTGGGCTTGATGGTTGCGTATGTGTATGGATACATTAAGGTCTTACTTTTTGTTTGTCTGCTCATAGGATTTGGTATATGAAGTGATTCACAACATGATGATCAGTGATCACTACTCAATCGAAGCCATTTATATTTATTTCAAGTTTTGTGTGTTTTTCATGTAAATAACGACATGATGTTCATTTATATTTATGTATCTTCATTTTCAAGTTACGGAATGGGAACTCAGATTTTCTGAATCGAAGGCGTGGAGACTCTTGAGACTAATTACGAGTTTCTTGATTTTTTTTTAAAGACACAAGACACAGAGACTTTTGACTAACTACAGCTAAAAGTTTCTTCTACGACCAACATACAGACTACTCAAATAGTTTTATAACACAAACCCATTTAGAAGTATGGCTTGCTTATTACCATGGGGCAGTCACAGTTGCCCGAAACTCCTGCTCCACATTCTGAACCTTTTGGTCGAGAACCGCTGCGTGAGAGTGCATCCGAGCTATCTCCTTGTCCATTGTCACTTTCTCTTCCTTCAGCAATGCTTCTTGTCTCTTCAATTCAACAATCTTCCTTGAGACTTCTTCAATGTCTTCTTCACACTTCCGTCTTTTATTGTCTTTCTCTGTGATCCCTCTCTCAACAACTTGTAACTCTTCCAATGCCCATGTCTGGCTTTCTTTAATGCACAATAGCTTGCCGATCCGAGATCTTGGTGCTGTTGCATCGAACCCGTGTTCCTCTAGCTTGCGAAAACACTCGTTGATCCTGTTCAACGCGCTTATTGGATCGTCGACTTGTATGTTGTTCACTTTCTCTAACAGCCCAGTGAACTTCACCATTGCACCTATGGCGTCTCCTTCGCGCGACTCTTCTTCGCACTCTAGCAGTGGAATGAAATGTGGACGTTGTGGCACAGCTTTGAAGATCTCCATTGATTCAAGGACTTTCCAACAAGGTGACTTCTTTGCAAATGGCAGAACCATTGTCGAGTCTTTCGCTGCAGGAGCTTCCACAACATCGACGTGCTTTTCCACAACAGAATTAAGCATTGGATCAGGAGTGCGAGAAGCGGATTGCCCTGAGGAAGAGATTAAAAAGCAAAACACAAAGCAATGAGAACCGAAAGCTAAAATGAGTATCAATTGTTCAGCACGAAACCGATGATGAATTTCACCTTGGATCCATGAAGCGAGAGGCTGATTCTCATCAGACATATCGGCGAGTCCAACATTACCAGCCTCACCTACAAGGTAATGTTAGGCCAAGAATGTTTCAAGATTGCAAAGACACAAAATTTACTTATCCATCAAAGTTAAGACGACATACCAGTCTTTTGCTTTTGCTTAGGCTCTGTGCTTATGAACTTACGTGGTTGTCGTCCTCTTTTCCTCTTATTAACGTTCTCTCTGTTTTTCGACTCCTCAGGTCCCTGCATAGAATCAACAGGATGAACAACCGACAAAAATGTTAAACGATGCTACAAACTAAACCTTCACCTTCTCTCCGGCAGCATCATTTGCAGAGCCCTTTTGAGTTTTCATTGCCACAAGTTTCTTCCTCGGAGATGTTTTTCCTTGTGTTTTGACCGGTGGTTTTGTCAGACGTGGTGCGGCCACACCCAGGACTAACGATGAGTAAAACTCTTTTGCTGGAAATAGTAATACGTAGATTCATTTCGTTACACAAAAAACTTCCAACTAAAATAACCATCACACTTGTTAAGGTAAAGAACGATGAAACAATTACTTGCTGCTATCTTCGGTTGGCTTGCGACTGCAGTGATCACAGCATTAGCCTTTTTACTTGCTAAATCTCCAGATGACTGCTGCATAAATCACACAAAGTTTATGTCATCGTAGCCGGATTGCTTCAAGCAAGTAAAATTCACGGATTCAACTTAAAGACTGTTGAAGTAGAGAGAAAGAGAGGGGAAGAAAATATCTAACTCACAACTGCAGTTTGGGAGAGCTGTGTTTCATTGTCAAATACAGATTCTTTACCAGCTTCTCCAATAAGAGGATTCTGTATGGTGCCACTAGAAGAGCGTGTCACCCTCAATTTTTTCCCAGCAGCAGAAGCTTTGATGTCTCTCAAGGCACTTCGAACAGTTATCCTTATGCGCGTTGAAGCAGTTGTTTCTTCAGCTGCATGCGGACTCTCCTCTCTACCCAAAACCTAAAATCGGAAACACAGATTCTGATTTCAATGCATGTTCTCCAAAAGATCCAGTAAATTTACACACGATGGTGTTTCGAATTTAAAGAAACCAATGTAACATAGAAGTAACAAGGGACCTGTTCTTCTGTTTGCCAAGCTCCATCTTTCCACTCCATAGATGGTCTTAGCTGCAAGTGGCCAAAGTCTTTACTTTGCTTGTTTTGGCCCAAAAGCACAGAGTATCTCTTCCCGGAAAGAACTTTCATTACTACACCTTGACACCATCCACACTCGAGAAGCGCATCCACGTTTTGCATCAACCTAAAAGCGTCTAAACAAGAAGGCGGTGGTGAAGGCCGGATTTTGGAATAAGGAACGCTTGTCTTGTTGCATTCACCGCTCAAAGTCTTGTACTTGACCAGCAATGTCCCATCCTCATTCTCCTTAATGGCTATAGCCGGAGCCCAAACATCCCCAAAAGGTTCAACCTCATTTCTAACTTCTAATGTTTTCCCGGCGCTAAAATCCGACTCCGTCAATTGCTTCAACAGAACAAAAATAGTGAAATGAGTTGTTCATAATATATATCTATATAGCAAAAGAGATGAGTAAAAGAGAGAAGATTTACTCGTTTCTCGCAGCGAAACCATTCTTCATCTTTCCAAACCAAATGTGGGCGCAAATGATTTCGTTCAAGCTCGATGACATCAGGTTCGAATCTGAGGTACACTAAGAAACGCCGAAATCCCAAAACTTTAACGACCCAACCAGACCACCAGGCACCTTGATGAGCAGCGTCAATCATGTCACCTTCCTCAAAATCGAGGTCGGGAAACGGATCCTGAGGCGGAGCTGGACGAATTAGACGATGGAAAGAGGTTGTGACTAACGGAGGCGAGTAGTCTTCTTTGACCAGAGGCTTCAAATGGCGAACAGAGAGCTTCTTCCGCTTCGATTTAGAAAGGTTTTCTTCGAGAAGAGCTCGATACCATACATACCCAGTACCATGGTCGAAAGTGACTTCAATTTCGGAGCCTTTACAAGCGAAGAGTTTCTCCTTTCTCCCAGTAGTTAACAACATTGCTCTTCAGAAATCACTTCTTCTCTCTTCTTCACCCAGACCTAGAACACTAGACCAGAGAGATGAAAGATAGAGAAACCCACTTTACTGTACTTGTGAATCCTTGAAAAAAATGCCGCTCAGAATAAATTCCTTTTTTTTTTTTCGTTCAATCTTTTGGATTAATATGTTAGTTGACATATATATGTATACACACCTTGTTTGCGATGAATTTAATACGGGGTCCGTATAATAAAGTAACTATTTTTATTTTCACCCCGTATTAACTATGATTAGATCGGGAACAGTAGCGCCTGTCTTAAGAGCCAATGTCGTAAAAAGTGCCCAATCCGATTCGTTTATATTTGGATTTTTCATACGTAGTGTTTATGACAAAGGAATTAGAATACAACAACGTTTAATAAAAAAACCCATTCATAAACCATAAGAGGGCAAAGTTCGTAATTTTATTCTTCGGAAGAGGATTATTTTTCAATTTTACTATAATGTCGGTTTTTTATTAGTCGTAATAATTCACTAGCCTTCTAATGAAATTATAAGTAGGGAAGTTCATAAATTGTGTTTGATAAATGTAGAAACCTAACGAAATTGGAATCTCCGCCAAAAAGTTGGCCCCATATTATAAGCGTCTGAGTTTTAGGATAAAAGAAAAAGAAAAAAAAACTGATGAATTATTAGAGCAAAGAAGACAAAGTATGAAATGATAAAGTTTGAGGCGAAAGACGGAAAGAGAGACGAAGAAGACGAGACACTTCTCCTCGATAAAACAAGACCACACGTTGCTCTTCTAAGCCTGCATTTAATCAGACATTTAGTTTAACAGTCAAGTTTATACCAAAACGATTTAACAAGCTATTTGTAAACTTGATTATACCTTGTTTGCGATGTTGTTGGAGAGCCAGTCAAGTCCCTCATAAAGCCCTTCTCCGGATGTAGCACATGTGCTCTGTATGTACCTGAAACCGACCAACGATTACATCAGTTCTTCCGATTTACAAGTTCCAGTTTAAGTATCTGGTTTCGTTTTTTTTGGGGCTCACCAGTGTCGTTGACGGAGAGAGTGAAGTCCAAGCTTGTCAGTTATCTCAGCGGCGTTCATTGCGTTTGGAAGATCTTGCTTGTTAGCAAAGACGAGAAGCACAGCATCTCTCAACTCATCCTGCAACATTTATAGGAAACATAAGAAAGCAATGTCAAAATCAAAATTAATGCCAATTGCCTCCTCGTGTAAATAGAGAAGGAGAATTTGGTTTTGAGCTTTACTTCGTTTAGCATTCTATGGAGCTCGTCCCTAGCTTCCACAACACGGTCACGGTCATTGCTGTCCACCACAAAGATTAGCCCTTGTGTGTTCTGGAAGTAGTGTCTCCACAATGGACGAATCTAGACAAGGAAACCCAAAAAAACAAAAAAACATTGTTATATTGGAATCAGCCAAAAGGGCCGTTTTTTTTTTTGAAAATCAAGGATGATAGTAGAGTAATGGTAAAGCAGTGTAATGATAGTACCTTGTCCTGACCCCCGACATCCCACACGGTGAAGCTGATGTTCTTGTATTCCACAGTCTCCACATTGAAACCTAGTAAAAACAAGAACTGTCAATTTCACAGTACTAAGGCATTAAGCACTCACTCTGTTAATCATACTCATAAACAATGAGTCAAAGATGAAAACCCTTCAGCAAGAAGTACACCGCATGGGATGATAACCCACAGACAAATCTCTACAAATATATTTAGTCAAGTTCCAATCTCTCCGTAATCCCCCAATCCAATCATAATACGAAAATGTTACCCAGTCCGTTGAGATGAACCCACAATGTGGCAATTTCACAGACTAACTCAAGTGGTGGATAAGAGCAGAGGAAAAGAGAGAAACCCACCAATGGTTGGAATCGTGGTGACGATCTCTCCAAGCTTGAGCTTGTACAGGATGGTTGTCTTACCAGCAGCATCAAGACCAACCATGAGGATACGCATCTCTTTCTTTGCAAAGAGCCTGCTGAACAATTTGCCGAAGGACAGCCCCATTTTCCAAGCCTGCTATGTATAACACATAAAATCCTCAAATCAAAACTCACTCTCATTTGAAGCATCCACACAGATTCAATGCCCATCAATTGAGAAAACAATTACAGAACAAAGCAGCTTTGATGCATCATACGATTTCGCTGAACGATTACCACATCTCACGGATCTCATTCGTATTAACATGTCTCGATCAAATCAAAACAGTACGAAAACTAAATTCCGATTTGAGGTGAACACTCGATCTGAAAAACAAACCAAGATCACTTTGTATAACGACGATGCAGATACAAATCTAACATCCCGGACGAAAAGAATCACAAGAAATCATGTCGCATCCCAACAAAAATTGGGAGATTAAACACAGATCTGGAAATGACGGACCCGGATCGCGGGATTAGATAATCGAAAAGACGATCGAGAAAACAAATAGAGCGACGGAGAGATGTATTAAGCGAAGAACAAGGGCATACCGGGAAAGAAAAAACGACGCCGAGGAAGACCTAGACTTTCACTGTCGCCGATGGTCGTCCAAAGAACAAGCAATGGTCTTCGAACGTAAGAGGAGAATCGTGCAACGCAACAATTCTCTACTTATGCCAAAAACAAAAAATTATCGCGTCCTGAAGTTATATTACGAATATACTTTTTACTTCGGATTAGATCATCAAATCGCGGGGATAGCTCAGTTGGGAGAGCGTCAGACTGAAGATCTGAAGGTCGCGTGTTCGATCCACGCTCACCGCATTTCTTTTTCATCAGCAATAGTCGAATGGGCTTTGTACTCTTCTTTTTTTTTCAATATATATGGGCCAAAATAATGGGCCTTGTACTCTTTTTTTTCAATATATATGGGCCGAAATTGTAATTTCAAAATTTCTGATCATACATCTACTACATTCTTTATATCAGCAATAGACGAATTAAAAAAAAAAAAGTCAAAAAGTCATATGGATAATTTATAATTTAATATCTCAACAAATTCTGACGATCCTACGAAAATATGGCCGATCGGATCTAAAACATTTCTTTCATACTATATTAAACAAACGATATAATGCAACTTGAAATAACTTCAACAAATTACCGTAAAAAAAAAACAAATATTTATTGACTTGCATTTTAAAAAAATTGACTTTCGAAGCTAAAGATCTGACCGTATATAAAGCTTTGATCTTGAAGCTTGATGATATTCTTCGTTGCAACAATATTTTAAACGAAATGGATCACACTGTTTCTTCTCTGCGATGCTTCTCCTTAATTTTATGTTTATCTCTTTTGATCTGTTGTAACTCGGAAGAAAGTTCCAAATCAAGCAAGAAACCTATTTTGATAAACTTCGGTGACTCCAATTCCGACACCGGAGGAGTTTTAGCCGGCGTCGGACTTCCCATCGGACTCCCTCATGGCATTACTTTCTTCCACAGAGGCACAGGTCGTCTCGGCGACGGTCGACTCATAATTGACTTTCTCTGTAAGTTCCATTTCTATTCTATGTATATACTCTAAATATGTATACAGTACATGTAAATTTACAAATTGGTGATTCTCTTTATATGGTTAAGGTGAACATTTAAAGATGACATATTTGAGTCCATATTTGGACTCACTCTCACCAAATTTCAAAAGAGGAGTCAATTTCGCTGTCTCCGGCGCCACCGCTCTTCCCGTTTTTTCCTTCCCACTTGCCGTTCAAATCCGCCAGTTCATCCGTTTCAAGAACCGTTGTCAAGAACTTATCACTTCCGGTAAGTAATTTGTTTCCAAAAAATAAAAATTCTTAAGTACTTAACATGATGTTTTGTTAACAGGAAGAAGAGATCTTATTGATGATAAAGGATTCAAAAACGCACTGTACATGATCGATATCGGACAAAATGATCTTCTACTTGCTCTATACGATTCAAACTTAACGTATACATCCGTCGTCGAAAAAATCCCTCCTATGCTTCTTGAGATTCAAAAGGCCATACAGGTACTTTAATCTCTTTCTCAAATCCTTCTCATTTTCACATAATCATATCATTAACTGTTAGTCCCAAATTTTAATTATCATTAGATATATTCGGATGATAATTGATAAAATCAGTAGACAAAACTCTTAGAAAATTCCTGAGGAATGGGTTTAATTTTTTGTGTTTGCGTCAAAACGGTTCCTAATACGGCCGGTTTGTAATTTGGTATGTTGTAATGAAGACCGTACATCTATACGGAGGGAGAAAGTTTTGGGTACATAACACAGGCCCATTGGGTTGTGCACCCAAGGAATTGGCAATTAACCCACACAACGATTCGGATCTTGACCCGATTGGTTGTTTCCGGGTTCACAACGACGTGGCAAAGGCCTTCAACAAAGGACTTTTTAGTCTAATCAAAGAAATGAGGTCCCAATTCAAAGACGCTACTCTCGTCTACGTTGATATTTACTCTATCAAATACAAACTCTCCCAAGATTTCAAACGATACGGTGCGTATCGATTGCACTAATAAAATTCATGTTAGAAGCCTTTGTTAAGAGTCAGAATCGGTTTGATTCGGTTATTTTCATTTCGCGTTTTCAGGATTTGTGGATCCGTTAATGGCTTGTTGCGGTTATGGAGGAAAGCCAAACAACTACGATCGAAAAGCCACGTGTGGTCAACCCGGTTCAACTATTTGCCGTGATGTAACCAAAGCAATTGTATGGGATGGAGTTCACTATACTGAAGCTGCTAACCGGTTTGTTGTTGATGCGGTTCTTTCAAACCGGTACTCTTACCCAAAAATTCCTATTGGCCGGTTTTGGTAGAGGTATAACAAATTAATCAATAAAACCCATTTGGTTATTAAATTTTCTTCTTTTCACTATATTAAGAGAGGGAAAATTGTACTGTATGTATGTTTTATATATATGAATAATTCTTAACTGCTGATTAATCTCTTATAAGTCGGTTCAACTATTGATGGTACTGATGACTAATGATTGCGCAATGAAGTGAATGTGGAAAGTCAAACCATGAGCCACCATGATCACAATTCCAGGCTTCAAATTTAATTAATGTCCCTTTATTATAAGATTGAAATTTAATTTCATCCGCTCTTTAAGATGATGTTTTACGTACGTTGAACCTGGACTATGGTTTATGAATACAAATGTTATGATTAAAACCCAAGAAAAAAGAAATTAAATACGTATGTTATGATTTCATGAGGGAAAAAATAGTATACGAAATAATAATGTGAGATGCACAGTGTTGTTGAGGCTTGGAGTGAATGGTGTAAAGAGAAATGCGAAATGATGAGAAGTGACCTCCACTTTCTTTCTTTTTTTTTTTGATAAAAGAGTGACCTACCACTTGAGTTACGTTTTCATTTGATTCTCGGCTTATATTGATTTTTAGATGAACACTATAGAAGGCTGATCTTTAATTATTTTTACTAGGAGAGAATCCGCGACGTATGTGCGGTTTTATTTTAATTTATATTTTAAATTATACATTTTAAAATTTTTTATTAAATTTTATTTTTATTATCAATTTTTTTGCCTTTAAAATATTTATTTTTTTATTTTTTTTATAACATATTATTTGTAACTATTCTACACCAGTTGTACGAAATAGTCCAAAATTTCTCCCATTATAATAAAGAATTAAAAACCTACTATTTAATTTCTGTATAAAAATGTAATAGTTCACATAAAAATATAAGTTGAATATCAGAGAGGAATATTTATTTGTTCTTCCATCTTCATATTCTTTTTATTGTTGTAAATCCTACTAATATAATATTTTTTAACTTTCTCAATATACAATTTTGAGTTTTTTTTGTTATATATATTTTCTTGATTCCTGGTTTTTTTGTACAAAAAAAAAATTTATGACATTTTTATATATTCACTCTTCTTTTACTATTATTTTTTTATATTTTTTATCTCTTTATTCATTTATTAATATTTTTATGTTTTATAAATTTATTAGTTAGAGTTTTACATAAGATTATTTGAAACTTAATTATTTATTAGTTAGAGTTTTATATAAGATTATATAAATTTATTAGTTAGAGTTTTATATTTCATAATTTTTTTCACTTGCATTAAAATTTAATTATTTTTTTTTTAAAATGAAATTTAAATCATTTGAAAAAGAAAATAGAATGGTGCATTTAAAAAGTTTTTTATTATATAATATTTATAAGTTGTAATATATTTAAATTAAATTTTAATTCTTTTATTATATAAATTTATTTATATACATATTATTTATTTATATTCTTTAATGTGTTTTTTTAAATTTTATTAATTATTTTTTAATTAAGATTGTAAATGGATATGTGTCACTATCTCCAATGCTCATGTGGCATTAAGCTGGAGAAAGTTGATTGTCTTGTTTTAATTTATATTTTAAATAATATATTTTAAAAATTTGTATTGAATTTTATTTTTACCAACAATTTTTTTTTATTTAAAATATTTATATTTTCCGATTTCTTCTAGATGATAAATTATTTGTAATCTCTTCCACACCGATTGTACCAAGTAATCCAATTTTTCTCCTATGGTAATGAGGGACTAAAAATCTACTATTTTAATTTCTATATAAAAACGTAATAACTCATAAAAAAATTTACCATTTTGAGTGTTTTTGGTTATATATATTTTATTGATTACATCTTTTTAAAAATTACTAAAAAACTTTGTATGACATTTTTATGTATCCAATTCTTTATTATTATTTTTTTTAATAATTTTTTATCTCTTTAATCATTTATTAAATATTTTTTGTGTGTTATAATTTTATTAGTTAGAGTTTTATATAAGATTATTTAAAACTTCTTAACTTATTCACTCTGATAATTTTTTTTTCACTTTCATAAAATTTTAATTATACTTTTAGTTTGAAAATGTAGTTTAAATCACTTGGAAAGAAGAAATGGAATGATGTATTTCAAAAAGTTTTATATTATATAATATTTATAAGTTTTGATATATTTAAAATAAATTTGAATTTATTTATTTACATACATTTGTTATACATATTAATATTTATTAATATTCTTTAATGCTTTTTCTTTAAATGTGATTAATTGTTTATTTCATTAAGATTTTAAATGGACAGATGGCACTTTCTCCAGTGCTGATGTGGCAAACAGCTTGAGAAAGTTGGCCAAGTTTTATATATAAGACTAAGAGAAAACCCGCACATATGCGCGGATCTTGTTTTAATACATTTTTAGAATTTGTATTGAATTTTATTTTTACCATCAATGTTTTTTCGTTTAAAATATTTATATTTTCCGATTTCTTCTAGATGATAAATTATTTGTAATCTCTTCTACACCGGTTGTACCAAATAATCCAATTTTTCTCCTATTGTAATGAGGGACTAAAGATCTATTATTTTAATTTATATATAAAAACGTAATAGCTCATAGAAAAATTTACCATTTTGAGTTTTTTTGGTTATATATATTTTATTGATTACATCTTTTTAAAAATTACTAAAAAACTTTGTATGACATTTTTATGTATCCATTTTTTTTACCATTATTTTTTAATTATTTTTTATCTCTTTAATCATTTATTGAATATTATGTGTTATAATTTTATTAGTTAGAGTTTTATATAAGATTATTTAAAAAAATTTAACTTATTCAGTCTGATAATTTTTTTTCACTTTCATAAAAATTTAATTATACTTTTAGTTTGAAAATGTAGTTTAAATCACTTGGAAAGAATAAATGGAATGATGTATTTCAAAAAGTTTTATATTATATAATATTTATAAGTTTTGATATATTTAAAATAAATTTGAATTTATTTATTTAAATATATTTGTTATACATATTAATATTTATTAATGTTCTTTAATGCTTTTTTTTTAAATATGATTAATTATTTATTTCATTAAGATTTTAAATGGACAGGTGGCGTTCTCCCCAGTGCTAATGTAGCAAGCAGCTGGAGAAAGTTGGCCAAGTTTTATATATAAGACAAGGTGAATACCAACGTGCGGGTTTTTCTTTTTAAAATTTTCAAACTTTTTTTATATTTTTGTAAAAATTAATATAATTATTACTTGTTACTTACTTACTTGTTAATATTTTATTCTAAAAAAATTATAAAATATTAATACATATTGAATATTATTTATTAATTTAAAGTTATATTAAGATTAATAAATATCATTCAATATTTTTAATTAGTTATAACATAAATTTTTGTTTAACATTTACAGAAATATTAATTGATAGTCAATTAATTAAAAAAAATAAAATTAATATAATCATCATTTCATTTGTTACTTGTCAGTATTTTATTATAAATAATCTTAAAAAATTAATTTAAAATACATCTTAAAATATTATTAAGTAATCTAAATATTATTAAGTAATCTACAATTATTTAAAAATTAAATACATATCTATCAATATTTTTAATTAGTTATAACATAAACTGTTATTTAACATTAATATATATTTTAATTAAGAGTTAATTAATAAAATAAACTTTTCATATTCTTTCATTGTTTTAAAATTTAATATTAAAATTTATTAATTAAAATTTAAGGACAAATGTCAACCTATCCCATGCTGATGTATCAATCAAAGGTGAAAGTTGAGCAGCTTTTATATATAAAATACTACACTGTTGTATTTTGTCTTCTGTCACACTTTTATGTTTCTTCGTCAATTATTATCGCTCCCTCCAGTCCATAATAGGAAAAAGTCGTCTCCTAATTTTACTGCACCTCATATATTCACACAGTATATGTAAGTTGTTGTGTGAGTTTTGTGATGTCATCAAACCACCTATTAATACAGACTTCAAAAGTGTTGTTCGACTTTTGTGATTTCATATTGCACGACAAAATATATCGCATAGATCATTTTTGGATTAATATCTTGGTCCACTTTTTCTATTAAATTTAAAAAGGGGAATTCAATTCACGTAAAATGGTGCGTATATATAACGAAACATATTATATATATATATATATATAACAGCATATATATATATATGTATGAGTTTAATGTGGTGCTATTTGATGGTTCAACATCCAAGACCTCGTATTAATGGAATTGGAAAGTGAAAGCGAAGATTCCGACCAGCTTGTATAAAATTGGATAGAAGGAAATAGTTTAGCACATCATCGAGATATATACCTTTGAGGAAAAAAACGGAAGTCGTAAAATGAGTGAATGCATAATTGAGTCTCTAATAATGTAGTCATTATAGCACCTCCAATAGTACTCTCTCAAAGAGGATTAAAAAAATAGAAAAAAAATAAAAAAGAGGAGAGAGAATGAGAACCTAGCATCTATAGTGGAGAATTTCTAAAACAAGATTTGAGAAACTCTCGTGAGATGTGTCATCATTTTATTGGTATAATTTATTTTTATAATTTATAATTTAATTAATTAATTAAATTACATAAAAATAACAATATTATATTAGATGAGATACTTTTAAAAGCTTATCACCATTATTAGTATTGGAGGTGGTCTTAGTTTTATCGCATGTCATTTGGTTAGTTTTCATTTTTCAACTTTTCATACTCTTTATTGGGATATATCGACATTATGCCATTATTTTCTGTTGAAACTATCTTTAGACAGGATATACCTTCACTTGGTTTGATTAAACCGTACCAGACCGGTCTACAGTTATAGCCGCCTTACATGTACTCGTTCTAGAATGGTGATTAAGAGAATATACAGTACATCTAAAGTATAGAAAGGTCTAATTAAGATCCATATAATCAAAGAATATATTCACAATCTATTCTATATTTTTATGTTAGTTCATATAAA